TATAACTATTAATAATACCTAATTATTAATGGTATTTAATATTTATAATAAATTTTAATTTTAATTTTATTGTATTATATATTTGAGTTAAAATTTCTTCATTTCTTCTTTTCAATATTGTATTCTGCTTTTTTATTTCATTTATAATATTTTGATTAAATTCATTTCTCCTTAAGTTTTCCATTACGTTGTACTAGTATTTAATATAACATAGGATAATTTATTAACATTTCATTGATTTTTTAATATGTTTTCTAAGACATGATTCTAAACAATTTTTTTTTTTTACATATAATCCACGAACGATAATTTTAAATATTTTTGCGAAAAAAAATTGGAAAGATTATCGATTGTTATAAAAGAAATTCATTTTTTTTTTAAGTTTTTATTTATAAACTTTATAAATATATTTTTAATATAATATAATATTTTATAGATTGATAAATTCGAGTGTACGTATTTATCGGGATCTTTGGGTCTTATTGAACCCGTTATATCCAGTAGACCTGCTAAAAAAAAAGAGAAGAAGAAGAAGAAGAAGAAAGGAGTATTTACATACCGGAAGAAGAAGAATCATTTAAACCATTTAAAGAATTAGAACAAATAGAAACGTTAAGTGATATCAGCTCTACTATTTCCTCTCCCAAAGAAGATTAATTTTTAATTGTAAATCTTGGTTATATTATTATATTGTAATTTTAAATTATATAGAAGTTGTACTTATAAAAAATGGTTAACATTTCATTCTTTTAACATATTATTTATATTTACAATATTTTATATTAAAATAATGTTATTATTCTTTTATACAATAATATATATTATTGTATAAAATATACAAAATATATACAATTAAATATAATTTAAGAAGAATTTATAAAATTATATTAACGTTTCTTACTTTTCAAATATTTTTCAAGACGATATAAAATTTATTAGATAGATTTGCACATTTTATTGCACATACGGTTTTTTTTAAGTCTTTACATATTTGCATAAAAATATTTAACAAATTACAAAATAAAATATTTCACATGAATGTATCTATGAATAAATATAATTAATTCCACAAAAAATAATATATTCATTATACTTTTGAAAAGTTTGCAATAAAAAAATTTTTAAAAAAATTAAAAAATTTGAAATTTATTACACTTACAATAATAATAATAAATTTATTACACTATAGTATTACACTTCTCGATAAAATGATAACATATCCTATGATTTTTTGTATTTTTGCGGATTAATATAATGTATCCCAATTTTATATACATATAAATTTAATCGCAATTTTTTTGAGTAAGAGAAAACTAATATTTTTTTAACAGAAAAAACGATTAGCCATTTCTCCACTTTTCTTAAAAAAAAAAACATTTTGTTTCTTTTGCATGGCTGATATGCATTATTATTAAAATTTCATAATAAAGTTAATCACGAATTGTAAAAAATACTTCTAATTATTTTTTAACTTAAATAAATCAATTTATTAATACATAATAATATAATAATTTATATACATATATTATAATAATATAATAATATAATAAGTTTTTTCAAAATTTGCTATTAATCAGTCAATAATATAAAAAATTTAAAAATGATATCGCATTATATCTTATATCTTATATCATTACATCTTTATATCTTTTGAAAATCATTAATTATTAACTTCTAGTGAAAAGAAACAAAAAATTAATACATTATTTAAAAAGTTGCAACGATAGCATTAATTTAGAAAGTTATTGAAAAAATAATTAAGGAATGATATTAAAAAAATTTAATTTTATGTTAACTAAAAAAAATTAGAAAAATATAATTTATTAAATTATGTAAATTAGAAAAACATGGTTTAAGGAATTTAAAATTAATTGATTTTTATCGGATAGACGTCCATGAAGACGTATTGAAGAAAAAAGCAAATCTCTATTGCCATATTAAGCAAACGATTAAATTTGATAATTTATTTATAATAAAGATGCATATTTATATTTATAATATTATATTTATATAATTTATATTATGAGTTCTGAGTGAACAAACGGTGGTATTTTAACTCTTTGTGATTAATTGTGTGATTCTAACTGTGTTTTGATGTACAGTGTATCGTCGCTGAAATCTATCTATTCTCTGTATCTATTCTAACCCAACTGCCAAGACTGCGAGTCTTGGTTTTTCCTCTAATCCTTGCATTTCGTGAAAATGCATACAGAAAGGGATTGAAAGGACCAATCATCGCATTAGAGGGCGGTTTCGAAGGATGGGCTCTCGCAGCGCGTAGAGATCAAAACTTTTATGGTGGTCCATCACATAGCGTGCAAATATGACATGTGAAGTGGTCATTGTTGTGGCATCTTTGCTTAAATCAAAATCTGGAAAACTATGCCCGCTTATAAATTACTGTTAGACTATTGCCAGGTATTCGAACTGTTAAAAATAAAGATCAGACTCGACCACTTCGTAAGCCCTGTCTTTGACACATGCTAATAATAGAAAATGATATCATATAACTAATATGATAATGATCTAAAACATTATGCGAAAAGTATGAAAAATTAATTGCTGGTTCAATTCAAACATGAATCCTATAGAAAATATTTGAATATATTTAAAGAAATTAACAAATAATTATATGACGCTTTTTTTATCAGCATTGCTATTAACTAATTGATTTAGAAAAAGAAATGGTATTCCATTACGCCAAAATATGAAAATAAAATATTGTTGTATATAAAAAGGTATATATCAAAATGTATATATTATTAAAATAAAAAACTTGTGAACTAAATACTAAAGTTAAAAAAAATTAATCAAAAAAATTAAAACATTCAAATAATTTTTTTATTATTTTTTTCTAATTCCATGTATCTACAATTATAGTTTATACTATATAGAAACATTCGTTAACTAGAAATTCCTGAAATAATTTCAATCAACATTTTTTTTTTTTTGCAAAAACTTTTGTTATGACTTTATTAATGAATATTAACAAAAAACACTAGCGCGTCAAATTATTTAGCTTAGTTAAATTGCGATAGTAATGTTGATTATGTGTCCCCTAATGTGTCCCTAATCAAATACAAACAATTAAAGAAAGTATTGAATATTATAGTTTATTTATTGCTTATAATATAATTTTTTATCGATAAAAAATATTTATTATATAATATTTAACACATTTTCTTCAATATATGTTATTTCTAAAACCATAACAAATTTTTAAACATCATATCCTATACAATAAAAAGACAATTTGATAATGAATTTATTGATTAAATATTAATCATTGTATTTAAAATACTAATTTATGGAATTCTTGTTTTTTTTATTTTTTTTCTATTTTTTTTAATTACAATAATTATTTAAAAGAATTAGATAAAATATAAAAAGAAAATTTGAATATAAAAATGGATTAAAAGACCAAATCAATAACTAACAATCTTTTGAAAGAAGTTACTTTGAAAGATTTTCAAAACGTTATTATTATTATTTTTTATTATTATTATTTACGCATAAGTGAAAAAATATTTTGTTTTCTCTAGGAAAAAGTGAAATATATAATAAGATAAAAAAAATATATTATTAAATATATATATATATGTATATTCGAATACAATAGAAAAGTTAAAACTTTTCATTAAGAAATTCAGCAAATAATGTTTTGAATTTTAAATAATATTGTGGATTAGTAAAAATTAAATTTTTTATATGAAAAATAAATTTTAATTCTTAGGTGTTTTAATTATTTTTAATTATTAGATATTTAATTTATTAGATATTTATATAAATTTCTATGTATATGCTTATTTATAGAATCAAAATATTCCATTTATTTAATAAACTTATGGTATAAAAATTAGAAACAATATATATAATATATAAAAAATTTATATAATATAAATGATATAACATATCAATAGACATATTCCTACAAACAGATGCTTAGATACATACATATTTTTACTTTTTATAGATTATTTAAATTATGGACAATTATGATAATAGTTATTTTAATGATTTTAAACGATTATGTTATCTACTCTACCATGAAAAGTGACTCAATTCACTCTACGGCAAATTGAAGAATGAAAAAGATGTGACGTCATATTATTCCCAATACTACTGTAATATTAAGTAGAGATGCAACACATGAACAAGTTTTTGTCAAAACCAAATTCGTCTGATAATTCTGTTTATTATTTCCATTATATATAAAATTTCTATTATATATATATAATATAGAAGTGAATAAAAATGTGAATAAAAAAAAAGAATTAAAAAAAATGCCTAAAAAAAATCAAACAAGGTTAGTAAAATTGTAAAAATAAAATAAAGAATATATTAAACTATTAAATAGTGATCTTTTAATTTATTAATTCTTTATTTTAATATTATATAATTTAAATACTTATAAATATGTATTAAAAGGATTTATAGAAATATTAATTTTTGAATATAAAAATTAAAACTAAAAATTTATAGAAAAATATATTAGATATCAAGAGGTTTAAATAAAATATATATCATATTATAAATATATATAAATAAATCATATTAATTTCATATTTTATTTTTTTCAGATTTTTTTTTTATTTTTAAATTTTATTTTTATCAGTATTAAAAAATTATAAATTAATATGAATAAATAGAAAAAATTATTTACAAGTACTATATATTGAATTGAATTATTTTCTCAAAATTATTATACAAATTTTCTACATTACTTTTTATTTGTACAAAAATTATAATATTATATTATAAATTATAATTGTTTAAAATATGAAATAATTTATTTCTATGACAATATCTATTTAAATAAATTTAAATAAATTAAAAATCATTTGCTTTATTGTTTTAATTATTATTAGAAAATATTTTCTATAATTCCTTTTCATATATATATTTCAACTTAAAAATGACATTTATTTTATAATAATATACTTTATATTTTATGACTATTATATTTTTTGTTACATTCATTAAATTAATCAAATATCAAATTAGAAATAGAAACATAAAAGAAAAAAAGGAAAGAAAAGAAAAGACAGAATTAAAAAGGATGACCAATATTTTGAAGATATCATTGATATAGATGAAAATATCTCAAAGGATTTTGAATTTCTATCAAATGCACCAATTTCAGAAAATGATCATTTTGTCTTTCAATCAGAAAAAGATTGGACTGTTGATATTTCCAAATACTCTGAATTTTTTACAATAGATCTAAAGACATTATCTATAGCAATAGAAGCAATTCCATTTAATAAGAATGTTAATATTGATACAAAATATTTTACTGTAAGTTTAATAATTCATCAAATTATTCAGTTTAATATTAATTTCTTAAAAAGCATATTAATATATTAATATTAGGATGATCAGATAACAGATATTTATAATAATGCTGAACGAGGAAAAGAGAAATATAACAAAATATTAAGTAATAAAGAAGAAATAGTTACATATATTATAAAAGATGAAGATAAAAATCAAGATTCATTAGAAAATACTGAAGAATTAGACTTTTTATTATCATGTCGAGAACCTATAAATGATCCTTTAATGATTGTAAAATCTTTACCTCTTTCTTGTAATACTGGTATGTATATTATATACATATATATACATTTATAGATATTTATAATAATACATTTTATGTGATTTTTTTAATATATACATTAATAATAAATATAAATTTATTATAGATTCAAAAATAAAAACTAAATCTAATACATCTACTAAATCTTTAGATTTAGAAAAGTGGTTGGATTCGATATTGGATGATTAAATAAAAATTGTCATTAATTATCTTATTATTTCTTATTTTAAAATGTTATATTGTCAAAAAATTTGTTATATATAGTTTTCTATATACAACTTTTGTTAAAATAAGATTTCTTGTAATAAAAAAAATAATAAAAATCATTCTTCTTTGTCTTAATATTATATTATTGTATAATATTGTACATAATATTGTATATAATATAATATAATAAAATATTGTATTATTATTTTTGTAAAAATTTTAGAAGATTAAAAAAAAATTTTACTTTATATAAGTCTTTTTACTGAGAAATATTTTATTTTTATGTGACAAAAATTAATAAATGATTAACAAAATAATTAAGAAATATACTTAAAGTTTAATGTTTAATATTGAATTATTAATTTATGAAACAAATAAAAATTTATTTTACAAATAGACAAAATTAATAATAATATTAATGAATTAATTTATCTATTCTTTTTTTTACAATATAATTTTTTTTATATTTCAAATTTATATTTCAAATATTTCAAATTTTTAATAGAAAATATAATTATTATAATTTTCTTATAAACTATATATTTATATAAATTATATATAATAAATTTGATGTAAAATCTGATAAATCTAATCTCTTGTATGATATAATTCTTTATTTTATATTGTTAGATTATTTATATATTTATATAAAGAATTATTAATCATTAAACATATTATTATTACTGCTAAAGATAAATTCCAATTATAATATTATAGAAAAAGCTACTAATAAAGAATTATTTACTTGAACAAGTTTTATAATATTAGTAAAAAAATGCACAATTCAGACTGCACTAATCTAACTATATAATTCCTTAATTTCTCTAATTTTACTTAATCGCCAAACTGCATATTTAGATATATTTTCATTTTTTCATAAACTATAAGCATAATTGCACCACCTGGTCCTAATCGTAAGATTTTTGGTAACAATCCTTTATATAAAGCTCTAAATCTAAAATAAAGATATTCACAAACTATAAATATTAAAAAGAATTTCATTATATAGTTTATTATATAATATTTATTTAACAATGAACAGTATAGATTAAAACAATGCCAAATATAAGATAAGAAAGAAATTGCAATAATTATGAAACTTAAAAATAGTAAAAATTAATAATTCAAAAAGAATATTATGTAATTGAATAATAATAAAAAAATAAATTCAGTTAAAATAATTCTTTTTTTCTCTAAAATAAGTATTAAAATATGAATTAATAATTTCTTACCCTTCTCTATGATAAACTAAATAAATAGTTTGCAAAGTACCCTTATATTGAATTTTTTCCTGTGGACCTTGGATACGACTTTTAGCAACATCAAATGGTATATTCATACAGGATGCTACTGTTCCAGATATAAAGCCTACAGTAAACTAAAAAGATACATTATGTTTATTACATTAATAAAATTTTTTATATGATATTATTAATTCATTATTTTACTTATAATATATTATTATTTTATTTACAATAAATATATATTTCTTATTATTAATTCATTATTTTGCTTGTAATATATTATTACCATATTTACAATAAATATTTCTTATTATTAAATTAATTCTAAAAACAATCTAATTGTCTTCAAATTGAAATATTTTGTATCAAATAAAAATATCTTTTTAATTCTTTTTCTAAAATTATCATTATTATATATAATTTACATCTTTATAACAATTATATATTTTTGTATAAAAATTTGTATAAAATATTTTTGTATAAAAATTAAATAAGATGATTAATTATATGATGATATGAAAAATTATATGATGAAATATATTTACATAAATGCAAAAAAATTTCAAATTAAAAGTAATTAAATGTAGAAAATTAAATGCATAATATTTCAGTATAAAAAGCAATAAAAATATTGAAATAAGATAGATAGATATTACATATTATCTAAGATCAAATTAATTTTACATAAAACAGATTTTTGAATATTTAAAATTTAAAAAAAAATTTTTTAAAAAAGTTTTAAAAAGAATTAAAAATTATTAAAGAATTAAAAAGTGAGATAATTTTTAAATATATATATTTTCTATATATATATATATATATATATATTATTTTTATAATTATTTTAATTTCATTTAAATTTGATTATAATATATTAGAATATACCTTAAGAAATAATTCTGAAGTATACTCGTTTTTCTTATTCAACCAAGGAATGATAGAATTATAGATACCAAAATAGAAAGAATTAAAAATCGCATTTCTCATTATTGTAGCAGATAAACCTTTATTAAGACCATTTAATCCAAAACCTTGTTTGCAAAGAATATGTCGAGTTACAGCAATAGTTGATGGACTAACACTAATGTGTTTACGATTAGATTGCATTTGCACCTTAATTACTTCAAATGGATTTATTAAGATTGCTTCTGTTACACCAGTTAAGAATCCAGCACAAAAAAATGTCTAAAATAAAATATTATATAATTAACATTTAAATATTCAATGATGTACTAAAATATTTAGATATTATATCATATTATATAGGGTATTTACTTGAAAAATTTATATCAAATTGAAAATAACATATTTTTAGAAAACATTAAATACAATGATTACAAGTTTTTTGGTTACAAGGAGGAAATATATCTATTTTATTTATTTTTTATTTTTTGAGCATTTTCAAAGTTATTTAAAAATTAATATTTTCTTTATGAAAATATATTTTTATTTGCAGATTTTTTTATTCTATTTTTAAAAATCATTTTTTTTATCAAACTTCGTCTTATGAGAAAAATATTAAATAAAATAAAAAGTTTTTTCAATTTTATTACTTTTAAAATAGAAAAAAATTAACAATAAATATTTTTTTTAATATGATTATTATTAATATAATTATTGATCTTAAAAATAAAATCAATAATAAATGTAAATCAATAATAAACTTTTTAATGTGATTTTTTTACAGCACAAAAAATTATAGTTACAAAAATTTTAAGTCTGAAATATTCAGACTTAAAAACTTGAAAACATAAATAATTTTAATTTAATTAAAAATTATTGTAACTTATAAAAATTTAACTTAAAAAAATTTCTTTATAAAAATCAAGTAAAAAAATAAAAAAGTTTTGTTTGTATTCTTTAATTTTCTATCCTCTTCTTTGAAAGTAGCAAAATTGAAAAAAAAGATTTTATTTTAATCTCTATTTAAAATAAAGTTTAATAAATGTTAAATATAAAAGTTTTTTCTTTTTCTCTCTTAAAATAAGAAGAAAAATATTCTGTGAAGAAAAGAAAAGCATAGAATTTTATTTTTGTCCTAGAAATAAACTTTATTCTAAAAATAAAAATAAATAAAATAATTGTATTTTTGTTTTAATAATTGTAAAACTTTTATATTTGATATTTTTTAGATATTATTTAAATTTTTAAAATATTTAAATAAGAAGTTTCCAAATGAATACTCTGTACATAATATTATATATATATATATTATTCAATTATTTAGTTATTGAAATCAAATTAAAAATTTTATTATGTTAGGAATATAAATTATTTATAAATTTCTCTACTTATTTTGAAAATTATTTTATTTATAAATATATTTAAATGACAATATAATTTGTGACAATATAATTAAAATATGTTACAAATTATTATTTAATTAATAAGTATTTAATCAATAAAAATATATATAAATATAAATAATCAAAATATCAATGACAATATGTATATAAATAATATAATTACAATTTTGTAATTCAATTGTAGTAATTTTATATCTTGACAATGAGATGATCTCTGATATCATTGAAGGTATAAAAAAATCATAAAAAAAATTGTGTAGCTTGACAAATTCTATTTAAGTTCGTATTCACTCAATTTTTCTTATTTTTATATAATAAAATCAGAGTTACAACTCATTTCATTTTAGTTCATTTTGTGTATAAGAGAATATAATTAAATAATTATATACGATACTATATATAGGAAAATATTAAAAAAATTATTAATATTCTCTTATTAATATGATTATAAGAATTTGTTAAATTATTGCAAATAAGAATATTTATCATTTTATTCAAATTACAATGAATAGTTAAAAAAAATTTTTTATTAAGATATAATAGTAGCTTTCTATTTATAAATATTATCTAGTCCAATTATAATTGTTTTTAAAAATCAATTATATTCTCTTATCTACATGCTTTATAAAATTTTATATTATTTTTAACTAGAAATTATTATCAATAAAATGGAATATATTATGTATTTTTTATTAGTAAAAACACATTTATAAAAATTAGCTTTTTTTTCTGTACATACCATTGTTTTCGATGTATGATTATTAAAGAATTTCTTATACTGTTCAAAGGAGAAAAACTAAAAAAATAAAAAAAAAAAAATAAGAAAAATGGATAATTTTTTAATTAAATTTTATTTTAATTAACAATAAAAATAAAAAATAAAAATTCTTCAAACTACATACTTTTACAGCTCTTTTAGGAGTTTCCATGATAATTGGCGGTAATATACCTTTCCAAAATGCAGCAATTCCTTCATTTCTATACATTTTTTTCATACAATCTCTAATTCCTATAATAGAAATATAATTTAAAAAAAGAAATTATAATTAATTATAATAATAATAATTAATTGCAATAAAATAATATATATTATAACAAAAACAAAAGTAATATTAAATATAAAATAAAATATATACAAATTAATGATACAATGCCTGTATAATAAAGAACATCTTGTGATCCTGTCTTGATCTGCAGTTGAAAACGTGTTTTAATAAGATCCATAGGATGCATTATACAAGCTTCCACAAAACCTGCAGAACCTCCTGCACCAATTTGAATAATAGCCTCCTTCAAAAGGCTTGGTTTATGTGCGATTTCTATATGAGTCATTTTATTTCAGTCTTTCTTAATAGATATTTAGTTAATTTTCTTAGTTTTTTATAAAAAAGAAAACATATTTTCTTCTAATTTTATATAATTCCTAGGATAAACATAAACATTAAAATTTTG